AGCAGCGGAGAGGGATGCTGAAGAGAGAGAGAGAGAGAAGTATATTCCAACCTCAATAATTTAAAAATATACATAATAGAGGAAATCTGTACCACACCAAAAAACTAATATGTATCGCCTCAAAAACTAATTTATACCACGTCCAATGCTAATTTTTACCATGCCATATTTGAGATATTTATCACGCAAAACAATTATTACTGAACGAACCACTATATATACGGACAGAGGTATAAAAACAATGCCCTTCCGTACGTGTCAAAAAAAGTCATATCCACATTTGTACGTCCAAAACCATCTGCAAACAAAAAGATTAATCATTAGTATTGACTACATATTGGGTTGGTAAAAAAAAAATTTCATCATTACTATTGTACATGCATGTAGGGCTACAACACTAGACAATCTAGTAAGGTTAACAATATTATTGTCAAAGAATAATATTATAACAACATAGGAATGTTAATTTTAAATAAATGACCCTACTGATTAAATAAAGAATTATTAGGACAAATGTTAATTTTAAGAAGGAACTAGGAAAGTGTATAGTATATTGATTAAGATATTTCCTTGATTTTTTTTTTAAAGGGAAATGATATCAACCCCACTGCTAAAATATTATGAATCAAGAATATCAGCACCCATTGTTCCATTCTCCAAATCAGGTGGACTTTGTAATCTAAGACAGTGCACACACTACTATAAAACTAATACAAACTCTACTATAAAACTAATAAGCAATTCATCATCTCTTTTTCCTCTACAGTATAGTCTTGTTTGGATGGGGTTATTTAGTAAGAAATAATAAGAAATGAAGAGAAATAAAACTTGTTATGTGTTTAATGTGTTTAAGTGATATACACGTATTTTCCTAAGTGTCCGCAACGTGTCTGCGTACAAATTTTTTAAAATTCAAATTTCCTGCTCAGAAAGCATCACCTACACCATCCCCTTCATCTCGATATCAATTTCCTGCTCTAATTGTGACCAAACCAAAAAACGTGCAGATTTCTATGACATAACAAGAAATGTGTCAAGATGTTCAATGTGGTAGTACTGAAAACATTTTATTTTAGCGACTAAATTAGACCACACATAATAACCCAATATAACCTAACCAAAGTAAGGCCCATGGATCCATGTCTACTAAATTTTGACATTACCAAATCACACTTGACCACTAAAACCAAATAAAACATAAATAAACTTGTCTGGCTTCATGCTAAATTGCAAATTAATATAAAATTTAAATTCAAACCAAACTTCATTAGAACATGCATTAAATATGCTTGATGCAAAATTTCAGCTGTGTTTTTCCTATTCACATGCTTTTTGTCATCAAGTTATGCCTATATGAACCAAAGAGGTCAAATATCAATCCTAAATTTCAAAAAGCAACACACAAACAGGTGGTGGTTTATCATAATTGAGGACTACAGGATCTGATTCAAAAATGTATCACTATAATACCGCAAAAGTACAGAAAATCCCACTAACTTATTCCTCTAACATCTATTAGTTTATGAGACCACATATGTATGAAAACATCAGCATCCCTGATTCTAAGGTGAAAAACTGAACACAGATGAACAGGTACTTGAGTTATCCACATGGACAATAGAATAGTGATACAAGGCAAAAGTTAAGAATATACCCATGAATAACTTGAATGAAGAAGGCATAGATCTTTTCTCTTTGGCCCAAAATACACTAGATTTCTGTGAATGGTATAAGCCTGGATCTATAATGATAGGCCTTGCTCTTTGAATCCGCAAATATACACTCAGAATGTTACTCCATATTAATGTTTCAAATGATATGTAATGTTTTTGACTGAAAGGTCAAAGGTAAAGACATAATGTTCTTGAAGGACAAACTCAAAACACAAATTAAAGACTATTGTAAAATGAGGAGCAAATATACAACTATAGCAAACAGGACAAAAAATTTATAAATAAAAAATAAAATATGAAGAAGAATAAAAGATTGTGAACCAGTGAATTACATCAAGTAAAACTTTAAATTCTTAGTATTTTGTAGCCTAATTCTTAGCAAATATACAACTAATTTTGTCAATGAGGCCTTTACAGTCATCAATTGAGAGCTAACTAGAAATAAGGGGCACTCCTAAGTATTTGACAGGAAGGGAACCAAGTTGAACCCGAAGTAAATTGCGAAGATCTATCTTAGATAGATTATCAGTGCCAACAATGTAAATCCTGTTTTTGCTCTTTTTTGGCGGGAGGCCAGAAAATTTATTGAATTCAAGAAGAGCATTAAAAACTATTTAAAAGGACTGATCATTAGGACAACAAAGAAAAAAGAGGTCAAAGAGGTCAAGATGACTATACTAATTGTTAATTGTCCACAAACAATAAGGACAATACTTCAATTTTAAAACACACAATTCACATGACCATCTCATCAACTGCTTAGGAGTATATAGTCCATCAGACTCAAACCAAGAATCCATAAATGAAACCTACAATACCTGATTTTTGGGTCAATATCCCCTAGATTAAACACTTCCAAGAATATAAGAAGAAATTGAAGCTTTGATAGTTCATGCAATTTGTCAAATAGTTAACGGGCGAGATAGTGAAATCACATGTTCAAGTTGATAGCAGAAAGGGAAGTAGCTACATAGATTAAAAACCAACAATGGCTACATAGACAAAGTGATTCAATTTCACCAACATTCCCCCAAAAAAACACAAAACACCATGACCAATGTTTTGAGCCAAACAAAATGTTAGGTCATTATCATTTTTAATATGAATCAAACAAAAACTGTTTTACAACTTCAAAGTGGTCCTTCAAAAAAATTGATGGAACCCATTAATGGAAAGCTAGAATTAGAGCAAAAAGTGAATGACCCAATAGAATATTATGCATTAGAAATCATACCTTTTGACTATTTGAAGAACCCATGTGTGTGCGTGTATGTGAAGCTCTATGGGTTTTTGTGAGTGAATGGTGAAAGAATGAGAGACAGAAAAACAGAGCCGAGAGGGAGAGAGAGGATCTCAGGCGACGGTGACCAACAAAGGGGTGAATCGGTGCTCCGGTTGCCGACCAACGTGAGGAGGAGCGGCGGTGAGAGTGGAGGGGAGAGGAGCAGCGGAGAGGGAAAGGGAGAGGGAGAAGGATGCTGAAGAGAGAGAGAGAGAAAGAGAAAGGCGCTGGTTTTGTTGGGTTTGGTTTGGTGAGAGCGTGAGATATTTTATATAAATGGTTATTGGCGACTAAAATTTTTTGTCGCTAAAGGTATTTTGTAAATCCCTCTAAATATTTGAAATGTCTCCCTCCAAAACATTTTAGTTCTTTGGCGACCAAAATTCAATTTTGTCGCTGAAAACAAACTTTTGGCTACCAAAATTTTGGTCGCCAAAGGTAAAAAATAATTTTTTTATTTCTCGTTTTCATTCGACAAAACGAATCGAAAAATTATAATTTTTTTCTAAAATTTCAAAAAAAATTCAATAAAGAATTTTTTAGTGGCGGCCAAAATATATGTTTGGCGGCCAAAATATATATTTTTAATTTTGATCTACATCGACTAAACGTTATTTTGTCGCTGAAAATATATGTTTGGCGGCCAAAATTTTGGTCGCCGTAGATCAAAAATAATTTTTTTAATTTTCATTCGGCTACCAAACAATTTAGTAGCTAAAGGTGCCCCTACGGCTACTAAAATTTATTTTAGTCGCCAATTGTGATATGTGTAGCTACTAAAAAATTTTTTAGTGGCCAATTGTAATATTTTTAGCTACTAAATTTATTTTAGTCGCCAATAATCAACATTCCCCTACTAAAAAAAATTAGTAGCTAAAAAGTTGACTTTTGCCGACTAAAATTAATTTTGGTAGCCAATTCCCACACTTTTGGCGACTAAATTTGTTTTGGTAATCAAAAATGACCGCCAAAAATGTGTTTTCTTGCAGTGACAGTTAGCATAAGTCTGAATCATCATGATGATAAAAAAGGACCCGGTCATGCTTGAGGGCCCGAGAGTTCGGGGCTCGAATGCCCCGAAATTCCATTTCAAGTAAAAAAAAAAAAAAAAAAAAAAAGAAAAAAAAAAAAAAAAAAAAAAAACCGACTAAAATTAATTTTGGTAGCCAATTCCCACACTTTTGGCGACTAAATTTGTTTTGGTAGTCAAAAATGACCGCTAAAAATGTGTTTTCTTGCAGTGACAGTCAGCATAAGTCTGAATCATCATGATGATAAAAAAGGACCAAATGCTTCAGGCTTTTCTTATTAGTTAAACATTCAGTTTTTAAGCATGTCCAAACAGCCTCTCAGGCCCTGTTTGGTGCAATTAATGGTATGTTTAATTTGGAAGAGCATATGCATTTAAATCTTTCATGTTAATTACACTGAATAAGCTTCTTATATAATTTAAGGTCTAACTCCTCACCAAATTCAAACATGGCAATATAAAATCACAAGTAAAATGGAAGTGAGTCAATTTCCATTTGATATTGCTACTCTGACACCCAGTCCATTTTAGATGAAATTGGGTGTATTTGGTTAGGGAATTTGATGAGGAATTTAGAAAAGGAAATCGAAAAGGTAGGTGAAATGTGAATAAAATATACTTAAATGTCACATAGTTTCACACACTTTTTCTCTTTCTCTTTTCAAATCCCTACCCAAATCTCTCAACCAAACACAGTATAAAAGTATAGATACAAATCAATAAAAAGTATTAAAAGTTACATATCTACTGCTTGTGCTTGCATTATCTTGGGGTAGTAGATCTGAAACTGGAGATCTAACACATCTAAAAGCTAAGATAGAATTACAGAAATATATAAGTGTAGATTTGGGACCCCTTCTTTAATTTATTATTATCATGATTTTTTTTTGAACTGGATTGGGACCCTATATATATATATATATTGGAGTGGAACAACACAAAGCCTGAATATATATATATTGGAGTGGAACAACACAAAGCCTGAAATAATAATATCCCATGGGGATGGGGGACGTACACCCAACGAATTCTTTTGTAATTGCATTTATAAGTGAACAAGGCACGTAGATATTGGGGATGAGGAATCATCATGATCTGAGAAGAAATATACTGAGCTCTTGGCTAGAGCTTCCGACGGGGTTAATCATGTGGAAGGACTCAGAGTCGGCCGATCCAATGACTCGTTCGAAGCTGGCCCTTAGATACATGAGTTCACCACCACCACTGCCACACTCCTCCTCCTCCTCGGATGGGGACTTAGTAGTAGCAGTAGCAGTAGCAGTAGTAGTGATAGGAGGCAGGACACCTGCACCAACTGAAACCGATTGCATGAGCTTGAGGACTGCCACGTCCCCAATCGTCATCTGACGCCTCATTGCAAACCCAACCTTCCTGCCGTTGCAGTACATGGCCCACACTGGTACGTTGAACAGCGACGAAGAGGAGCAGCTGCTGCTAACAGTATTGATTTTGGAAGACGAATTGTACTGGTAGTAGTAACCTTGTTTAGAGGCAGAGGTTATGTGACTACGGCTGTACTCACCACACTCGACGAGAGCTATACGAAGAAGGCCGTACTGCATCTCTCTGGCTAGGAAGGCGGTGGGGACAGTAAACTCCAACAGCAAGAGAGGGGAACTCCTGCTGCTCCTCCTCCTGTCGTCTTGGATGCAGAAGCTCACTCTCCCCTTTCTGTATCCGAAGAACGTCCCTGTCACTGTGGAAGATGAGGAAGAGGAGGAGCCATGATGATGATGATGATGATGATTAATTGTAGACTCAGCAGCAGCAGCATCGGCATCAACATCGCTGGCGAGAGAGTCGGTGGCAGTGGAAGATGGCTGGAAACCACAGCAGGGGACAACGCACTCCATGAGTGAGCGGAATGAGCGCCGGAATCTGATTTCCCTGCCACACTCCACGGAGGTTATTGGTGTGTCCATCACTTTCATGTTCATGTGCACGTGCATGTGCAAGGGCCCCCTTTGGCTTCCCAAGTCTATCATCCTCATGTTTGCTTCTGCTTCTGCTTCTGCTCGGAATAGCACTAGCTGATGATCAGATCAGATGAGATATGATCCAAACACGGAATCATCAACCTCCAAGACAAGAGAGACTGAGATACTAGGACAAGATGTAGGGGTCATAGAGCTATTTATAGACGGGAAATTCTAATGTACATATGCGCTTTATGTTATTTTTTTTTTAATTATTATATTATTTTAATTCTATAGTTATACCTCATATTATCTTTAACTATGATATTTTTTTTTTTCTTTCCATTATGACTCAAAAAATTAAAATTTATCATTTTTCTTTCTACTTATAAAATACATATAAAAAAATGTGCACTATAGTGTTTTCCTTTATAAATAGCTAAAAGTAAAAGGATGCAAAATTATGTCTACTAATATATTTGGGGTGTAAGAGCATCTCCAACGGTAGTAGGCATTTTACCTATCCAAATATCACCAAGGATCCTCTAGAGTGAAATTTTCCTAAAGTTTCCCAGAGTGCTACATTGTGTGGTTGAGATTTACTGACAAGTCACATCAGAAAAATTGATGTGACTTGCCAGTAAATCTCAACCACACAGTGTAGCACTCTAGGAAACTTTAGAGAAAAATCACTCTAGAGGATATTTTTTTTTTCTTTCTATTATGACTCAAAAAATTAAAATTTATCATTTTTCATTCTACTTATAAAATACATATGAAAAAATGTGCACTATAGTGTTTTCCTTTATAAATAGCTAAAAGTAAAAGGATGCAAAATTATGTCTACTAATATATTTGGGGTGTAAGTAATCTGTGATGAGGTGTAAGTGAGATATTAGCCCTGTTTGGTAGAGCTGTGAGAAAGTGCTTATAGCTTGTGTCTAAACAGCTTATAACTTGTAACTTTCAGCTTAAGCTGATTTCCAGTTTATTCTTAAAGCATCTCCTGCCACACTCAAAGAATAAATTGATTTCTGACTTCCACAAAGCTATAAGCTATAAGCTAAATCAAACACATCAAAATAGTTTAAATTAAGCTGAAAGCTGAAATAAGCTGTAAATAATTTCTGCCAAACAGGCACATTGTTGAACCCCTCCATGTTTGTGTGAAAAAAACTTTTCTGTCTCATTAGGATGTAATTTTCTAAAATAAAAATAAAAATAAAAATTAGCTAGGTGTCAGTGGTGAGACCTATTAAATCATGATGTGGCAATTCTATGAATTAAAAATGAGTAGTATTAACCAAATCAAAAAATTAGATATTATATTTTCAAACTTAAATTATATGGCAATTATCAAAATATCTAAAGCAAATCTCTCAATTATGTATTCTTTAATCATCCATTAATTATTTTATTTAAATATCATTGAATTTAAAAAATAAATTTATAGAGCGATTTTGTATATCATTCTTCATTTAAAAAGTAACGCAAACTTATAATTTAGGGTAAAGATTCATTTATGGAGTGATATCATTTTCCATCAAATCTTCAACCTAAATTTAAATTTCTGAATAAATTTTTGATTTTTCTGTCATGGTTAGCACGGGAAATTATTTAATAATTTCGAAATATTACGTAGTCATATTTTAAATTAATCATTAATTACTTAATTCTATATTATTTATTTATTTTAAATATAAATCGTGTGTTCCTATTTTTCTCTACAAATTAAAACCTTGTAAAGTTTTGTAAATCGGTAACGTTGGCCAGGAATTGTGTGTGCAATAATTCTGCCCACGAGGGTGTCCGGGAGAGAGGGAGAGAGAGGAGAAGGACCTCTGTTTTTTTGGAAGCACTCGCAGGCAGTGGGGCGCTCTCTCTCTCTTTATTGTGACAGCAAAACAGCAAAAAGGCTCGTCTTTCCCTGTCCCGGAATATATCACAGTGGACGACACGACAATCCCTCCTCCGTCCCCTCATTACAATCAATCAAAAAAAAAATCCTAACCCCTTTCTTTCTTTCTTCCTCTCTCTCTCTCCATTGTATTTCTACCAAGGAAAAACAAAGTAGTGATGACATTATGCTTCCCATTTACAACTCTTTTTTAACTAGTTATTAAATCATTTGTCCATTTTGCTTGCGGGGAGTTTACTCTCTTCTTGATCAGAATGATATGCATACAATTAACAGCAAATATTCAGGACGATGACTGTTTGTAACTGTAATGGTAAATAGTAATATTCCCACTAGTTTATTACTACACGCCAGCTTAGCCTTCCAACACCAAACAATGCCAAGGTACCGTACTTATGATATGAACTTTGAATATATATATATTGATATAGAAAAATCTTCGCATCCTCTCGTAGGTCCAAGACAATATCCGTCGAGATCATTAAAGTATCTTATTATTCGTTCCAGATGAGAAATTATAATTTGAGAGTTTGCACTAATCCCCTCAACACAAACTTTAATTAAGTAAGAAGTTACGTAGTTGAATGGAGTCAAATCCACGCCAAGTGTCATGTATAGTAACAACTTTGAGATCCTCCCTCCAACGCAACTGTGCCGCGCCCGGGGGTATGAACTTTGAATATAGCATGTTCAAAGAGAGCACAATTTTAAGGTAAATAAACCAAGAAGAAAAATAATAATAAAAGAAGAATAAGATTATATTTATGAGAGAGTGGAATATTTGGAATGTGCTAAAAGACTAGAAAAGTGAGGACAATGAATGTTAAATCAAAGTGCGTTTACAGTGTGGAGTGGGAGTGCACGGATGGTGGCTGCAACAGGGGATGACAAGAATAATTCTATTTATTTCATCTTAATTATTGTGAATTTATCTTAAAATAGATTGCGATTGAAATTGGTCTCGTTTGTCATAATTTTAAAAAGTTAAAAAGTCACTATCTTATTTAAGTCACATTATCTTATTTATGTCACATCACTTCTCTATTACATCACTTCAAACCCAACTTATATATAACTCATATTTCATAAAAAATTAAAAAATATATTTATTTAGATTATTGCAAATCACTTCTGAATTTGTATAATATAAAATCTATATATATAATAGATTTAAATTATTAAATAATAATTTTAAATAATTGAATCTAAATTTATAATATTATGACAATAGACATGAATGACCGAGTGGTGTGGCGTGGAGCATGAAAACGAGCATGCACGTAGGGCAATGATTTCGACCCCCTATCACTTCTGCCCTCTGTTTGCCTTTTGTCCAATGCTTTTTTGTTTTTGGCAGCTAATATATGCCTAAGGATAACGATGAATGTAGTAGACTACTCCACTTTTTTATCCACTTTAAAATAAATTAAAGCTCTGTTTGGCCAGAGTTAAATCGGATTTTTTTTTGATTATTTTAATCACAAAAGATAAAATAGGTTATTTTAGTCACAAAAAATAAAATATCATATCAAATCCATAATCATTATATTTTTCTCTCCTAAAAAAAGTCAAAAAAGTCAAAAAATCATTCTCAAACTAAACTTTTTAACTCAGGCTAAAATAGCCAAAAAAATCAAAAAGTCAAAAAACTAACCCACTTCCTAAACGGAGGCTAAAAATACTAGTACTAATTAAGGGTCTCTACAATCCTCTAAGGAAAATATCCTCTAAGGAAAATAATATACTTATTTTTTAGATTCGTTTTTAACATAAATGATATGTAAAAGACATTTAAAAAAGAGAAATTATCTTAAATATTAAAAAAAAGACTCCCATTATTAAATTTTGAAAGTGATCATAACTTTAAAACTAAAATAATACTAGTTAATTATGTTTATAATTTTTTATTTATATTTATAATTTTTTTTTAAATTTATAACAAAAATTTATTTGCTATCTACTTTTATTTCTAAAAAAAATAAATAATTCACTTATTTTGAAAATATATAGTTCATTATGTGTGCTTTCTCTCTCTCAAGGGTCTTTTGGGAAGAGGGTAAAAATGCAGCTATTAGGTTTTTATCTATTTTGAGTCACATCACTTCTCATATTTTTTTATTCACAAAAAGACAAAATAGACTAAAAAAATCAAAAGATCAACTTTTTACCAACTTCTCAAAACACGCCTCAATTGTCTCTTATCACCTTAACCTTGGCCAAAGGAATAATATAGAATGAGAGAGATGCGATTTTCTTTTAAAAAATTATAATTATCCACTATTTAAAAAAGAAATTGATAAAATTATGTGATTAAGACTATTACATTAATTTAAATTTTTCCATGAATGATTTATACACATAAAATTACAAAATAAACAAAACAAATCTCCAAAGTAGAACCTACGATAAATTTCACGAGTCCAAATAGTACAATCCAACCTAATTCCAAACAATAAGACTAAAGAGCCTCTCAAATTTATCCAAAAATTTACAAGCTGCTCACATGGCAATTAGGGCTGAATAAGGAATTCGTATAATCCGTAGTCCGATATGATCTAGTCTAATCCAGTAGGTTTGGATTGATTTTTTGAGTCTGTGGTTCGGTTCAGGATTGGAAATTTAAAAATCCATAGGTCACGGATCAGTTTCAGATTGAAATTCATGGTTCCGGATTGGAACCAATCCAGGCTGTATAGAAATAATTTATATTTACATTATATACCCTCCAACATAATATAATTTTGTATTTCATATAAAAGCTGAAGTCTAACCCTAATTCATTCACGCCACACTGTCTCTAACACTCTCATCTCTCTCTCGATACTCTCTCTCTCTTCTCTTTCTCATCTCAGACCAAGTTCTCTCTCTCGGTACTGTCTCTCACATTCTTATCCATCTTAGATCGGATCGGTAAGCTACTTGTCTCTCTCTCGATGACACTATTTTTCTGTTTCTGAAATGGGTATGGGTGTGTAAGTAAGAGTTTTTATTTTTATATTTTTTTGTCTTTTATCTTAAATGGGTGTGTGTGTGTATATATATATATATATTTTCTATTTTTAGTTTTTTCTATTTTTTCCCCTAAAACAGTGATTTTTGTATACAATGAGAGAAACAGTGTATCTTAAATGAGTGTGTGTATATCAAATGATTTCTGTTTTTATTTTTTTCTTTGGTTCCTGTAGTTTGGATTTTTTTTTTCTTTTGATTTCTGGTATGATTTCTGTGGTATGGAGAGGAACAAAGTATATTTTTTTCTTTGATTTCTTGTATGATTTCTGCTCTCTAATAATATTAATCCT